TTTCTTTTTTTTTTTCCGTTTTTCTTTTTTTTTTTGCCGTTGCTGCTCCTGCCTGGTCGTGGGTCGGGCCAGTTTCCTGCAGTGACTTATTGAGACGCTTAGAAATGCAGACTTTGAAAGTAAGTAGTATAACGCTCTCACACTGAGGAAGTGAGTCGGCAGGCTGTCCGCAGCTACGTGTAGCTCTGCTAGCTGACATGTTTGCCATCCATCCCCCTCTGCCCCTTCCCTGCTGTCACTCTTATTTTGCTGAATGGTATCAAAATGTACAATTGCATCTGCTACTGTAGGCATACGTGGGGGGGGGGACTGAACAGCATGTGCCTTCCCAGGAGAGTAAAGTTCTCAACATACCTGCACCTCTCTACAAGGCATTTAAAGACTGATGACTGTTTTAGCGGGCGATACGTTTCTATGAATATTTTAGTGTGCCCAAGAATTGTTGGTGTGCAATTGTAATAAAGGAGACTAAAATAAAAGAGGTATTTTTACACAATAAATAGCGCCTCCTTGCCTCTTGAAATTTTCTTCCCAGTTGAGACAGGGGCATTATGGCATTGCAGAGAAGCATGTGCTCCACGTGACCTTTGTGTGTGCTTAGGCTGCGTGAAGGCTTCCCCAGGGCTGAGCCTTCATGTTTTCACTCTCATAATGCGGGGGGGGGGGAGAGGAACATGGGTGCTGGGGGCTTCCTCTCTACTGCTCTCCTTCCACAATCCAAAGGCAGGCGCCAGGGCTTGTTGGTGTCCCTGAGTTTTCCAAAGTGTGGTTTGTGTCCCAACGACGGGCTGACCTTCTGTCAAAGGGGTAACCCTCCTCCCCATCGCCCTGACGAGCGTAAGCGTTGCACTCGCCCTCTCCTTTGCACACATAAGCAAATGACCCGCAGGAGATCAATGGACATATAAATAAATGAAGAGGAGTTCACTTTATAAGGGAGATCACAAAATGACTTTCAGTGAAAGGAATCAAAAAGAATCGCATGTAAAGGAATCCACTTATCAGTGTGAGGACAACAAGGAACAGTGAAATCTCAAAGCCTTGACAGAGCAGCCGAGTTAGGACTTTGGGAAAATGTCTGTAAATGTTTAAGGTCAGAGTGGAGTTAGTGCCTTATCTCTGTACGTCTGTGCTGGGATGCTCTATGCTGGCATGCATTCGAAAGCCATACCCGTATGTGCAGTCGTCAGCCTCACTGAAAACGGTTTTCAATCCATTTTCATCCTTTGGATTATAAATACACGGAAGAGGTTAGCCAAGTGCTAAGCAGGATCTAAGCGGTCTTGTATTCTTAGTAGTTTTCTTTCCTGTAATTGTGGTCATTCTTTATTGGTTTGGCATCGGCTCTCTTTTTCGATCCCTGTTTCTCTGTGTGTGAATGTGCACGCTTCTTCATTTTTCTCTGAAGGCGACGTTGCTCACATTGGAACCACATTTGCTGAACGTTTCTTCTGGGTATCTGGCTTAGGTTTCACTATGTAAGCGACTTGACTTCCCACACTGACAGCCTATGACATCATGGAAATAGTTATGAGGGCCCTTAAATTGGAGAACGAAGTGTAAATGAGGGACGGCCCGCTCTATCGGGCCCAGGTCCTGTTCATTAGCAAACAGGTCTGTCCGTCCTGGGCTGAACTTTTGCAGTCGTGCCTCTAGTTTCAGCTCAGCTGGGAGTAGCTGTAACAGGCAGAGACTGAATGGACTCCAGGGAGACTGATGAAAGTAAGTTTGAGAGTGTGTGTGTCTGGGTCTGTTTGTGAGTGTGAGAATCCTGGCAGTACCTTCACACGGATGGGGGTTTCAAGGTGGCGGGGGCGGTGAGTGCACCTGCACCAGGTCAGTCTTCGGGGGGGCAGGGTGTAGGAAAGAAAACAGGATCTCAATCGCGAACAACATCCTGGTGTTTCCTCTTCCTTTTCCCTCCAGTGACCCCCGCCTCCATCCATGGCTGTTTGTGTGGCGGTTCCTGCCTCATCTAGAAAGTGGGAAGGAGGAAGAATCAAGGCTGGCCCAGCTTCCAGCGTCCGCAGATGGGGGGTCTGACGTTTTCTCATCACCCTGTTGGCCAAGCTGACGTCCATTCCTCCATTCATGTTTTTTATTTAAATTGGCGAGGGGGATTACCGGATGCCAGGCGGGCAAAAGGAACCGCGAGATCCTGTTTACATTGTGCATTTGAATGCGAAAGCACTTTATCTATAAATAGATCTGTCAAAGGGCACGCAATTTCCCTCAGTAGTCCAAAAATACAACCTAACCGTTTCACTTCAAGCCCCCAGCAAAGTCTTAGGCT